CTAGGAACAAAGCAAATAGTTGTACCCATGATGTTCAACTATCTGTACATGTACAACAAATGTCATGTTATTGTTTTATTAGACCTGCAGCTGTGCAGTCCTGCAAATGTATTGTGCACATTGCTGCTGCAAAACATTGCAAGTGACAACCAAATTGAATACATTTCAAGACAGCGTTACAATAGAAGGCGCCATAGGTCATGTTTTATGAAAAAGCAAGAAGTATTTATTAAGATATTGAGATTTTTATTTTATACGAGTTTCACTTGGCTGAACACAAAAGCAAACCCTTAACCGTGACTGTCTTGATTGCATTTTATACGTGTTGGGTATCATCTCCACTCCCCAATACCTGTGAAGTGCTCGGGGTAGCAAAGTTCCTCAGATTTTAACGGAATTTGGATTTAAAATGTCAAGAAGTTATCTCTTAAAAAAGCTGACTTGAGTCTTTCCGACCAAGCTCAAGGACTATAAGAGTTATTCCACTTGGTGTGTCCTCTCACTGAAATAGCCAAGATCCGAGTTTATATGAACAAGCTCATGATCGACCCTATGCTATTCGAGTCTCTGCCTCCTTAAACTTCAGTGGTTGAGGTTTAACAGAAAGGCATTTCTAGACTGCAGTCCAGAATGGGATTGCCCGGTTATGAAATATTTTACTCAAGAAGAATATATTTTGACTAACGTCAACGTTTTTTTTAAGAAATCTCTATGTCAGGGAAAAAGAACAAAAGCTTTTATGAAGCTTAAAATACTTAAAATATAGCATATGTATTTTATATAATCTTTATTTTAGAATAATTACATTTTATAAAGTTAACACACGTTTCTTTTCATACAAAGATACCTAGTCGACATTAACTGATTATGTCCACAACTATACTCACCGTCAATAGAAACGCAACACCCTAATTTAAGGGGTGAAAATTATGCACGGGATATAACTATGTACCAAAAAAGTTAGGACATCTTTTACTTTGACAAATCAGTTATTTAACAGTTGAATGATTTTCATTCCATTTTCATAAAAAAGAATCGAAAATCTTGTCCTCAAGATTTCTTTACAGTACGTATAATACGGAATAATCCATCTTGCTGCGAATTTTACATAAAACCGAATGTTCAAAGTGATAATTATTTGATATTATCGCGCCGACTGAAATATTATTTGAAATCTCTCTAAAATTACGTATTTTCAGATGGCTTTAACAATAGAAATACATACACACATATTACTATATATTATGAAATTTAAGTGAACACAGAAAGATATAGAATTACAAGATACACTCTCTAAAAAAATTACAGCATTTAAAAACACAACAAACACGAAAAATACTATGTACAATTTTCTTGGTTGATTTTTTTCTCCCTTTGGGCCGTGGTGGCATCTTTTTGCAGAGAAACACAGTAATGATGAAAAAAATGTTACAAAGCTCGATTCACAAAAACAAAATTAATGCTTTGACAATTCATGGAACATTATCACTCTCATTGTATGGATTAAGGCACTTTTCATAAAAATATCATTGTTGTTGAATGTACCCCTTTTTCACAATTTACAAAAATATGTTTCTCTACAGTACCGAAAAATATACTTTTATTCCCAGAAATTATCCCCTTAAAATACATATACATTGTAGTCCTATATTTGACGCATACTCTCTCTGCTTTGAAAAAAAAACTTTAAAAGTTAAGTCATTATTTCTTATGAAAGGAGAAATGATTCTCGTAATTATTCGGAAGAATGTAAAATATCTACATGGATACCCCTTCCATTACGATCATTTTCCTTTAAAATATTTCTAACCAAACCCCCTGTTTGGTTGACTATTATAAAGTCCCGACTTAACCTTTAACCTAAATGAATGGAATAAAGGTTTCCCTTTACTATCTTTAAAGGCCCTTAAAATTCCCATTTATAGGTTTTAATTAGATTCTCTCGCAAGAGTTTGTGACTTTACTTTCAACCTAAATGAATGGTATACGGGTTTTCCTTATTGCTCAAGGCCCTTCCATTTAAGATTTATTTGTAACTTCATTGGCCATTAACCTATACAAATGGTCGACGGGGCTTCCTTTACTATCGTTTAAGGCCCTTCCCATTTATAGGTTTCTTTTTCTCTTGATTTCGTCTCATAAATTAAACTTGAAGAATACTTTATTTCTTATTTTGCAAGTCCCTTTATATTTCCTCATAAGCGTCAACAATCTTTATATCAGGTACATTATAAAACATTGCCCATGTAAAAAAAATATTAACAATGTGACAACATTATAAATACCGTCGTCGTAAAAGAAAATTCTTGCACAACAAGTTAAAAGTAGGCATATTGACAGCAAAAAAAAAATTCTATCCTACCTGTACTCAGTTTCATTTTTTTTCAAAGTATTTCTCATAGAACTCAATATTAAACTGTCCAATCATTTGATATTCTTGAAATCGGCACTTGGAATCGGAAGTAGGGGCTCTGGCACAGAACTATTGTCGTTATCTCAAATATTAAGCTGTTCGTGTTTCTGGCCACCAAAGGACGGGATGGTACATGTAGTAGTCGTATAGCTGCAGATCTGTAGCTCTCCGAAAAAATATATATTGATAGACCGGAGAGCTACAGAGCCACCCATTGAAAAAACTGTATATTTATTGCGCACGAAAAAATGCGCTCGGTTCTCGATTTATTTCTCCATGTTTTTAAAGCTGTAATCTCAAAATATTACTAACCGTGTGTTCCTAACATATTCTTTGACTCTTTCCACAACAAAACATTCCTCATAATTGTTGTTAATAGCCCTCCTGGCCCTGATATTGCAATCATCGGACATTTCGCTTATTTATACTGCCATTTTGGTTTCAAAGATAATTTGGTCCAATATGCTTCGTTCAGATGTCAACTACGAGAGAACTTGATGGAAGAGAAAGTAATATTTTGAAATCTTCCATTTTTTGCAATTGAGGTAAGAATTTGGAAAAATTAATCAAGAATCGAGCGCACTTTTTGTGCGCAATAAATATACAGTTTTTTCAACGGGTGGCTCTGTAGCTCTCCGGTCTATCAATAATTTTTTTCGGAGAGCTACAGATCTGCAGCTAGTAGTCGTATCGAATGTCCTATTAGCACAAGAGTTTTTAGTTCGTTTCGGCTGTTGCACTTTGGACTCGCGGTCAGCACCAGTTTGTTAAAATGCGTAAGTCCTAGTTGTTTCTACCCCGGGAGTGTCTGGTCACTTGGCTTCGTCGATGGTCTTACGGCTCTGGTCCGTGTCTTGCCTTTACTTGAGTTCTCTGTCCGAAAAACCAGTGGGATTGCTAGCTAATCCACGTCTTGGGGGGGGGGGCGACTTAGAGAAGCGTCAAAGGCTATTTCCTTCCTTCTGAATCCGACGTCACGTCAAAAGGACTCTCCACCACTTTTCATAAAAAAGAATAAACAATTTAAGTGTTCGCCTTCCATAATCTGGATAATCTCCTTCACTGGGACTCGGGATGACTATTTCTCACTATTCCTTTTGAGCTCTCACTTGGCTTGTGGAGGTACCGGGATGTTTCAATTCAGCTATTTCTTTTATTATAAATTCCTTCTACATTTGTGGACCAGATCGGCCGCCATGGTTGGGGAGTGGAGATGGTACCCAACCTGTATGAAATACAACCAAGACAGTCAAAATTCAGCTTTCCACTCTTTATTAAATGAAACAATCTATTTGTATTCATTATGACTACAATATATAATTTCTTGAAATATACCACACAATATACTAAACATTATTAGTTTTAATATAAAAACAATGTTACCTGTTAATAAATTAACCCATGTGAAAATTTTAATAATTTGACAAAAACCGCGCAAGTTTAGAAAATTATCTCACCTGTATGAAATACAACCAAGGCAGTCAAGATTCAGCTTTCCACTGAAATCTTGTCTATCCCGGCCGTTCATTTCATACTAGGTTTACGTTTGTAGATTTCCATCTCCATATTTGTAACTCGTTCGAAATTTGCAATAATTACGTTTTATTATGATCTGAATTTTAATTACTATTATTCTGAACTTGAATACTTTTTAAACTTTTAATGCACTTTTAAAATAATTTCCAATCTTTTGCATAATCTTCAAATATTGTTTTCTGTAGTTAATTTATCCAAATATTTGACCTCTGGTCACTTCAATACTATTGGTTCCTTCTACCTCCTTAACAAAAACATTTTCCGAAACAAGTAAACGACCGCATTCCATGGTACCGTTCCATCACGTTAAAAGGTTAACTTAGCGGCCAGCATCAATGTTTATTTATATCTTCAGAAGCGAGTTATATCTAAGTCATATCTCCGCCAAAGAGTGCAAATACACATAAACGTGTTACCATCTTATTTTAGTGCCATTTTTGTTATGATACCATTACTGGAAGTTGATTTTTAGCCCCCTGAACAGAAATCAAAAATTAGCATTTTTAATAAAATTATTGACAATATTTTGGGTTTTGAAGGTTTTGCACCTGTTAATCATAAGTCTTGTACTAAAAGTCCGGAAAAATATCATTAGTTTTTTTCCAATGTTACTACAAATATGGACAAAACACACACAGTAAAGATTTGCAGATGAAAAATTTTCGATTATGATACTTTGGTGCCAAAAGTGTAATGTAAACTTTAGAAAAGTATACCAAGCCAGGTGAAATTTATAAGGAAAAGGAAAATGGTAAAAATCAGCCTATGTGACATTGCTAATTTTTTGACATTTTTATTTTCCTCATAGATTCAGCTGGATTGGTATATTTTTCTTAAGTTTATATTACACTTTTTGCACCAAGGTAACATATTCTGAATTTGTTATCACCTGTAAACTTTGTCTGGGTGTTATTTGTTGATATTGTTTTTTAAATAGAAATATTTCTAATATTTCCCAAGTCTATTTCATTTTCCAGTTCTTATGTAATTAAGTTAAATTACTATAGACGTTTTTTCTGTGTAATATTTTTCGCAGAAATTTGCTATCTCCTATAATTTTCCGGTTATTGAAAGGATATTGTGAACAGCAGAATCATGATCCCGTAGAGAAAAGTACGTTGACCGTATCCTAAACTACTTTCATTTGATATGCAAGAGATGTAAATATGAATATTAAATGAATATACATGTAGAATCTTACATGATTTGTAGTTGGATAGGATTTTTATTTAACGAATTGTGTTTTATATCCGAGCCAAGGCAAGGGATAAAAACACACAAAGAGTTGGATAAAAATCTTTTCTAACTATAGCTGCAGAACCTTAGCTCTCCGATTTTTTTGTCGAGCCTTTGAGCTACAGTGCCACCCATTGCAAAAACTATATGTATTACGCACAAAAAAGTGCGCTATTTATCGATTTATTTTTCCATGTTTTTCAAACTGTCATCTAAAAATATTACTTATCGTGTGTTCCTAACATATTCTTCCACTGGTTATCAACAATACATTATTCATACTTGTATTTGTTTATAATTACCCCCCCCCCTGACTTTGAAATTGAGCTCATTGAAAATTTCGCCATTTTATACTGCCATGTTTTGCATGATAATTCGGTCCAAAGTGCTTTGTTCTTATATAAACTACAAGAGTACTTGATAGAGAAGTAAGGACTTATGAGTAAGTATTTTGAAGAATTAATCAAGAACCAAACGCACTTTTTTTGTGCGCAATAAATATACATTTTTTTAAATGCGGAGAGCTACAGATCCTCGGCTAATCTAATTAAAAATCATGTACGATTCTTTTTATTTCATGTTTTATTCACCACAATCAATGTTTAATGATCGCTATTTCATATATGACTCTACTTCATTTTACTTCGCAACTCTAACGCATATACCATTGTGATAACACAACAGTTACTGTAGGATAGGAAAACGATATCATAAGAGTTTTATCACCGGGATGAAGGGTTAAACATGGAATAATAAGAGAAGATATGCTAGATGCAAGAATGAGACTTTGTCCTGTTCCATCTGTAACCTGTTTGCACTTTATAAGTTAAATTTTCTTATAAATATTTTTAAAGGATGAACACACTGTTACACTGGCTCCGTCCTCGTCTTAATTTTCATCAGTAATACGTATAAACCGTAAAATAGAAATGAATAACAAAATTTATATTCCAATTTTTAGGCTCCTCCCACCCTAAAAAACAACTGGTTGCTAAATGTTAACAAAGCAAACCTCATTCATTTTCAATCAATTAAAAATAAATGGATTCATACTTTTATATTTTGTATGTTTTACAGAGATATTCAAATTATGAATCTTTTTGTGATCTTCCATTCTGAATAGGAATTTATCTGATGGCCAAATTTCATTACTTTTTCTACCTCACATTGAAAGAAAACTCTTTCTCAAGGAGTTGACGTCAATTATTTTCGTTATTTGCCGTTCATGAAAACTCACATACGATGAGTACGATCAGTTAAAATTGGATGCTCACTTCTCTATATCTATGACACTTGAACCCACCATTGATGTTTTGGTTGTCCGTGTTTGCTCTGCTCTAATTTTGTATCGTTTAACGGTTCTTAATATTGAGCTTAAATACCGTTTTTTTTATATTTCAATATAAATATTTCATTTCAGATCCCATAAGAACCTGTGAAAAGGGATGGGTGACATCCCAAAAGAGTTGTTATTATTTTTCAGCATCCAAAGGTACATTTAAGGAAGCAATGGTAAGATCATGATCCATATGATTGATCTTTCCCTCAAATGACAGAAAAGTTTTGGCATCCACCCAAAAATACAATAAGTCTAAAATAAGAATAATATCAATGTTCCCTAAACATTTATATTGGTTAAATATATATTTATATGGGTACTTTATAATTAAACAAATATATTTAAGAAGCAATATGATGATAAATACATTCAGTTTTTCCTAGCCCCACTCCAAAAAGTTTCAAAATTATCCCATATTTAAATGAAAGTTTCTACTGTAGAATTTTGATTTGGTGAAGTTAAAATATATCAAATATAAAATCATAAAACTGTATTAAAATTTTTCTAGCGTTTTTACTTTGCTTACATTTAAAAAAGCATGAATAAATACATGTATTAACATCAAATTAAAATTAAAATGTTTTAATCCTTCTTTTAAATTGAATTCACACGTCTGTTTCCGGAGGGAGGGGGGTTGCCTAGAATTAGTAATCTTAAAGAAGGTTAAATATGTAACATCAAATTGCTGATGATTCATATTTAGCTCATAGATATGCTAATATTTAGAAACTGAGTTTTTTATTCTACTTTTATAGAATAAATCATGCAATATATCGAGGCTGTGAACTTAATTATATAGAAACATAAAACATTTTTTTTTCAATTAAGACCAATTCTCTGTAATCACCAAAATATTTTGGCACTCATAGTTACAGATTTGAATTTTTATATCATAATTTAATAAAGATGTGTGAGTGATTGTAAAATATAAAAATAGTTTTTGAATTGTAACCTTGGTTGCCATAGAAACGGGATACAAACTTTCTCATTTTTGTAAATCATGAAAATCTGTACTTTTCATGAAAAACCATGTCTAGAAATGAACAGAGATATCTATAATTTGTGTTTATTGTTGTAATCCAATACTAGAGATTCAAACAACAATGTTTACAATTCAATTTTAATTTAACACTCGTAAGTGGTCATGTTATGCATGGCAAAATGTCAAAAATATAGTATATTTTGCTAAGTTTTTAGAGACTTAAAACAAAAAATGCAGCCATCTACAAATTAAGCAATAATAAAACATGAAAGGTTGATATTTGGTTATATTTAAACAATTAAATAATTGGTGGGCAAATGATATGTGTAAAAGAAATTCAAAGGTGAATATTCATTTTTTCTGCATTTTGAAGCATTTTTTGCTTCAAATTACTTCCCTTGGATTACTAGCGTTAGGAGGTACAATATGTAGGCACTTGTAGTTGTAAATAAATGGTTTGGTGAGAAAACTTATCGAAAGCGGGTCCAGGGTGAGGATTGGCAGTGTGGAAGAAGAAAGAAGGCCAAGATATAATGCATAAGAAGACAAGAGGTAATTATAAATATTACAAATGCTGCTAAGTATGTATTTTATTGGCATGCATGCATGTAACCCGAGATTCCTCTGCCATGAAAATTGTGACACCTGAAGAGACCTCTGCCCTGACTCTCCCCGGTACATTTCACAATAAAAGATTTCATGAAAATAGATGTTGATGACAGACCATAAAGAAATCAGGTCAGACACAATCTCTTTATATATTATAACCAGGTCCAGTACAATCAATTGATTTAGCTAGCTAGATACATGTAGCTAGGCATATATGTTTCAAAGCAGCTTTTCACATTCTTTTTATTAAAAAAAAAAGACAAAAAACGTACACATGTATTAATATTTATGCTAGGGAGGTTTTTAAAAACAATTCAAGCAGAGATAATTTTTGGAGGGGGGTGTCTCCTTCAGCAGGTTTGAACAAATTGTCCAAATGGGATAATTATAATAGCTGAGTGTGAAATATATCCTAAATGAAATGCAAATTTTCAGTGCAAAAAGAGCAGGGGAATTATATTTTGAATTTTTTTTATATTTTTTCCTTGCAATTCTACAATGCATCAATGAGGAATCAATTGTCTAAACAAATAAAAAAAATACAGAAAAATTGACTGCGATTGTCCAAAAGTCAGTGCTTTCCATATTAATTTTTGGGACTGGAAAAAAAATATAGCCAAATATTTTGCACTGTTATTTTCTATTCCATGCATTCATAGCATTATTGATCACTTTGCATGAAATGATATACTTTTTCCAAAATACAATGTATATCATCCTTTGTTTTAGATAAGGCCTAAAAAAATATGTTTGTTTCCTGTAACCCGACCGACCCATTCAAATTATCCCCGGGTGGATTTTTTTTTCTGACAAATGGCAAAACTTCGTTTGATCAATCAGCTGATTCCATTTATTAAATAAAAAAAATAGCTTGTAGCTTAATTTGAGACATAAAATATGTCAAACAAGTTTACATTTACCTTAAATATAAAGAGTAATCATTAGTGTAACAACAGTTTCCCCCTAAAACTTTCTGAAGTTCGTTTTCTGCCACTGGCAGCCATTTTGGATACCATGTTGGGTGTCCACTGTAAATATAACACCTGTTATTTTCAGTCCGGGGATGTTTCACCATTCATAAGCAAAAAAAAAAAAAAAAAAAAAAGAATTTCCGACCTACCGACCCTTGATTTTTTAGGAATGTTACAGGAAACAAACTTATTTTTTTTTAAGCCTAATATTAATTTAGAAGATGTATATCTATTCCTCTAAGTCACTTGCGCGGTGCTGTGGTTAGAGCGTCTGCCCTAGAATTGCAAAGTAAGGAGTTTATCCTTACATGGCCGGTTCTAATCCCACTGTGGGACATGAGACCGTATAAACCGAGCACCCGTGTGGAAGTAGGCACTGGAACAAAAAAATCCCTCACTGCTCAATGGCCGCGAGTGACGAGTATAGGACAAAATTTGTAGCTCTCCACCAGCAAGTGGTGGTGTCTCCATATTTGTTATTGTATTAAAAATTCTTTAGACTGAGGGACATTATACAATCAATCTATTCTTCTTAACATTAAGTTAAAGTTTCCCTTACAGAAAAGAAAAAAAAATCCATGCAGGTGTATAAAAATATTTGAAGATGAAAAATCATGGTATAATCATGATTAAATCTTTGTGTTTAACATAAATCATTATACATTACAGCCATAGTATATATTACACCTACTCCTATATATAAAACTAAAGGTAAATAGTTCTGTCAATAAATAGTGCTTTACCTGTACATATTTTTGTAAGGATAGTATGACTTTCCCTTTTGATAATGTTGACAGAAAGATCATTAATAAATTGATGTTTATTATAAAATTAATTATTATTTTGAATTTAGTGATTTTTAAACAAAATTAGATTATATTCATTTTTTTTTCAAAGGATTTACCAAAGAGGATGAAAAGGAAAAGGAACAGGAACATATACACTTGTAAATCATGGCTATAACAGAATTCGAATGAAACCTTGAAGTTAATTTTGGAAAAGACAATTTCAGGAATTGGGACAGCTGATAGATGCATTTCTCTTCAAGGTAACCGGTTTCAAAAATCAAATCTAAATAGTTAGAAAAACACAGCTCATGTACTACATGTAGTACATGTATATGGTCTACTTATTCATCTTTTATTGATCAAAATGATTTTTTAAATCATTATAATATATGCATGTATCAAAGAAAACACGTTTAACTTGAACAACTGTCATAATGATCATTAGAAAAACACCTTTCTTGACTTAGGGTTTGCTTTTACATTTATGTGTATTATCCCCCCTTCGAAGAAGGGAGGGCATATTGCTTTGCTCTCGGTCCATTTAGTTTCCGTTCATTTTCTTCACAATTTAACCGTTGCACATACTGAAATAAAATTTTGCATACAGGTATATCAGATGAATATCTAGGCCAAGTTCTGTTTTGGGTACCATCACCCTTTTTTTGGCAGAGTTATGCCCCTTGGACTTAGAAAAATTCCAATTATTTGCAGTTTCCATTCATTTTCTTAGAAGAGGTTGCACGTAACGAAATGAAATTTAGTACACAGATTTATCAGATAAATATCTAGGTCAAATTATGGTTTGGGTACAATTGCACTATTTTTCACAGAGTTATATCCCTTTAACTTATAAAAATTCCAATTATTTGCAGTTTCAGTTCATTTTCTTTGCAGAGGTTGCAAATACTGAAATGAAATTTAGTAAATAGATTTATCAGATGAATACCTACAGTAGGTCAAGTTCTGTTTTGGATACGATCGTACCATTTTTCACAGAGTTATGCCCTTTTGGACTTAGAAAAGTTCCAATTTGGGGGAGGGGGGAGGGCATAAGTGTTTTACAAACATCTCTTGTTTATTTAATTTGATATTTGCCTTCATTTGAAGATATTGAAAATTGTATTTACTTCTGCAGGTAGAAAAAAACTCATCTTAAATATTGAGTGGAGGTGCAACATCATGAAGCTTATGATGAAATCAGTGAAGTGCAAAGCTGAATATCACAAAATTTCCAAACAATGGTGAAGCCTTAAAAGTTGGAGATATGGCATCAAATTTTTCCCTTAGAAAGTACCAAGGTGTTCGTTACTAATAATTTAGTTTCCCAAACGAGGGGCAATGTAGCTGGCTTGTCAGAGTGATATTCCTGAAGATGAAATTGGAAATGAGAATATTCATGTGTGTCATCATATTGTAAATTTTCAAGATTCAACCATATTTCTAATAAACTCAGTGAGGTCATTATTTAAGGAAGCTCTTAACAGCACACTAATGAGCTCTACGTGAAGGAGTAGTTTTATGCAGTAAAAAGGATCTGCCCTTAGAAGTCAGATAGAAAAAAAAATGGTTGCTTACCATTTATTTCACAATTTGTAATAGATTAAAGTATTTTTACTAGCATTATCTTAGGCAAAGAATAAGTAATTGAATTAATATTCACATTAATTTTCCCAATAGTTAACAACATTGTTTTCTGTTCATGAATAATTATAATTCATAACGTTTATCTAGTAGAAATAATGCAGGTACTTGTTGAAAATGAACTAATAGTCTCAATGTGCATACCTTTATATGATAATTTTTTCCTTAATTGAAAGTCTGCAGATCACTTCTTGATACACATGTATTGTTTAGAGCTTCTTTAAATTTCACATGATATGATTTGCTGATTAAAATACATTGTACTTGATTATTTTGATAAAGGTTCGAGAAAAAAAAATTCATAAGCCAACAATACTTGTCTTCATTGTAATACTTTGTAGCCTTTTGTGCTATCATATGTAGCAAGTAACTATTTAATTTTTTGTGTGTTTTGGATTGCAGTATTTTGTTTCATGTTCATATATTATAAAAACATATAATTTAGAAAATATGATGCAGCCTTATTAAATGCATAATCAGTAATAGAGGACTGTTATTTTTGTATTTTGCTAGAAATTGGGGAGAGGGGTCTATATTTATATCATATTCTTGCCTATAGATATGAATATATAATTCTTTTATGGTTCAGCTGACAATGTCTCATTGATTTTACAAATTTTAAGCTTAAATTCGTTGAATTTTATTTTAAAAAGAAAAAATATATCTTGTTATATGAAATGTTCATCAAAGCTGTTTTTTGGCGAAATGCCAATTTTATGATTTTTCATTTTGTTATAGTCAACATTTGTTGTTATTTGCCCATGAATGTTTTTGAATATTTTCATTATTTGAGACAAGAACATTCAGATGAAATAAGTGCTACATTGTGATAGTTCTGCAAATTTTTTATTTTTCTTCTCAAAATGTTGTTATTTTTCAGTTTTGACTAAATTTCAAAAAGTTGATATTTTGCCATTGTTTGACAAAGTATTACAAAATTTTTCAAAAAATTATTAAACATATTAAAGATATCCATTGAAAGTGTTGATGTTGTAGTTTTATAAGAAATTAGCAACAGAGATCTAATCCTAAATATGGGTTCAGCACAGATGGTATAAAAAGTGTGATTTTAGCAAGATTGCCATGAACAAATGAGCCCCATATGTCAGAAATTTTGTATCCCGGGTTACCATGGTAACAGAGGATCTCCAGAAAAAAAAATTATGCCATACATATAAGTTTTACCCTAGGAAGATACTATATGCCAAGTTTGAAGAAAATCTGAGACTATGCGTGCCAGACCCTTTCAGAATTACTTTGGTGGTTACAGAGAATTGCTCTTAAGATGTCAAAGTCGAAAATAGATATGTTCACCCAATCCTCCCTTTTGATTTGATAGAAGAGAAAAAAGATATTTTTAAATCGTGATTTTAATTGTTAAATTGTAGAATTTTATAAATTATCTATCTGTAGCAAAGTCATATATATATATTTTTTTTTTTGGGGGGGGGGGGGGGGGGGGCGGTATATGTGGCAGGAACTCTTCCATGGTAAACGAACCCAGTTCAATGTTTATAGAGCCGTTTTGTTTTTCTTTTGATTTGTATCATTTGAATGGACTTTTGAGCTTGAAGACTGATCTATATACATGTATCCATGTTTCAGCTGCAAAGCATTGTAAGTTTTACTGATAAATTACTTGCTATAGGTAGTGTTTCCATTTAATCTTTATAGTTGGCCTGTTACGAAATGGGTGCAGAATTACTGGAACTTCAACATGCCAAGGAAGAGGATTGGTTTGATCTCCAAAATCGTTTACGGGGTAAAATATTGGACATTTGCAGTGTTTTTGTTTTTTTTTTACTATCTGAACTTCAACTGAAACATTTACTTGAATAATTAAAAAAATGATATTTTCTACTTATGTAACTTGATAGGGGAAACAACAGAAGTCTGGCTCGGAGCCAGCGATATTAAAGAAGAAGGAAAGTTCGTGTATGTATCTACTGCTGAGAAGGTTTACTACACACAGTGGGTAAGAAGGCGACTGGATAATATCGGGAAAAATGAGCACTGTCTGACCTATGACGTAGCTTCAAAGGGAATGAATGATGCCAAATGTGATAGCAGGTTTGCATATGCTTGTAAAAAATGAACAATGGGAAACAAGTAAAGTGCAGTTTTAGCAACTGTATATGTGTTTGAGTTTCCTGTTTTAATGTTAAGGTATGCATAAGTGTTATGGAAGGTGAACAAGGCATTTGGTTCCGATAGGAGAAAATGTTCAAAACTTGATTTTGTTAGAATTCATATTCTATGTTTAAAATTGGAAAATGTCCCGAAATGGAAACATACTTCTCTAAAATAAGTATAGCATCTGTAGAAATCTCCATAGTAGATAATAATAACTTTTATAAAAGGTATGTTAGTCCCTTATGTCAAATATTTAGTTATAAATCAAGAAAAGCTGATCATTAGCATATCGTAAGATAAAATGAAAAAAACTAGAGGTTCATGTACTGTGAACCAAGAGATCACTTATTGATACCCCCGCCTCCCATATGAATATAATGGCAGTGTCCATGTTTTGCTATGGGAGACCTAAATTATGTCTGTGATCAAAAAGTGAAATAGGAGGTGCAGAATGGTATTGTGTAATAAAGATTCTATGAAAGTCTCATCAAATTTCATTCAGTGGCATGAGAGGAGTAGCAGGTAAGCGATGGGTACCCCAAATTGTGACAGACGGACGGAAGAATAGACGGACTTAAGGTTTTAATAATTTACACACATGTGTGTACCTTCCTTTGCTTACCATTAGCTGTTTGTCCCTGACCTTGATCCTAGCCGTGAGCTTCCATACGGGGTCATCAGTATTTCACAAACGCATCTTGTTTTTCAACTATGAACAAGTGACGACTTATTTTTTCCTCTTAAATGATATTAAAAAAACCCCGTTTTTTTTCATTTTTGAAATTTTTTTTTCACAAAATTACTTGAAAAGTTGTAGGGAATATAGTAATCGGTTATTATATTTCTTATTTATTATTGAACATAAACTTTCATGGACCTTTTAATGTAGAGCTATTCCTTAATCTAAATAGATACTATCCGATTTCATGCATCACACATAAGGGGGCTTTTACAACGCACTTTGAACAATTACGCACGTTCAACAAATTTTCAAAGTGCGTTAAATTCGGGACCAAATCAATGCACTTTAAAAAATAAAATTTCCTTTCAAAGTGCGTTGATATCGACCATATTATCACTTTGAAAAAATATGTACTGTAAATTTTAGGTATGATAAATTATTGAACCTGTTTGATAACTTTTCGGTGATGACGTCATTTTTGTATGTGAAAGTGAGCGAATTTGATTTTTCCATACTTTGAAAATTCTCTCTCTCTTAGATGTTTTACCGTACTTAGTTTTTTTCTAGTTTTCACGCATTTTATGTAAACTAAAATTTACTGAAATTTTTCAACGTCATACTAGCTATGCAAATACATAAATACATATATTTGGGTGTAGCATAAGCATCTGTAAGGGGGGGGGGTTGAAATGTTTTAAAAAGATATACATTATAAAGGCATTTGCAGTTGGGGCTTACCTTGAAAGGGAATCCATTTTGCTACCGACGGCTAAGTTCAATGCATAAGAAAACAAGTGGAGTGGAGAGACCTTCTACTCGTCTTCTCCTTGTTCTTAATGAGGTTAGATGAGTACGTGTAAATTAAAAAGTTTCTTGGAAGATTATTATTATTACAAATTGATTCCATCGAATACTAAAATCTATAAGTCAAGAATGTTTTGTTTTATCAATATTTTTTCAAAGTGCGTTAAGTTTATCCACGACAAAATATGTTTATGTACACTCTTAACGCACTTGTAATTTTTTCTCAAAGTGCGTTTAGTGTCTCAAATTTAAAGCACTTTGCAACAAAATTTCAAAGTGTTAACGCACTTTGAATTTTTTTTCAAAGTGCGTAATTTTTTCAAAGAGTGTTGCCACAGGAGACATTTCATTATCCATAGTTTTCACAGGACGCATTTTCTCTTTGAGTTATTTCCCTTGGTCGCCACCATGATGGTCAACCACGAAATTTTTTCTACTTGTCTTAGCAAATTTAAGATGACGTAGAAGAAATATTTGGTGGAAAATCTTTATGGAATAAAATATGTAATGAAGTAATCTCCAACACGTGCATATTTCTCAGAAAATTAACGCTTTCTACGGCTCAAATATCGGAATATAATGTTTAAGTTGGTTGTGCAATAAAGGAATATGAACATATATATTAAGGCTCCATATGGTTGCCATCTTTTGAACAAAGAATAAACCTTATGAACCAAATGTCCAGTTTATATGACTAGATATTAACCTTTGCAAATGACCGGGTTACAAAAGTACATGCACTTTGATCCACAATAAATGTTATAAACAGTTGTGTTATAAAAAAAAGAAAATAATATCAAACTAAGAGGAGAAATATATTTAAAACAAATTCCATTTTATATGTAAAATCTTTGAATATTTTCTAAAGGAAAATTTGATTACCTTATATATTCAATAAATCATAAGTAGATAAAAAAAATGAAAAGGGAGTATTAATTTTCTCCCCCAAGAAATATTGTATCATTAATTCATAACTTATAAACATAAAAATTAACACAATATGATTGTTGGAAGAAAGGAGAAACTGTACCATAAGATGGATTAATTTAGGTTTATCAGAGAGTGGGGCATGTATTCACCATAAAATAAGGTCATTGTCAATGTATTAGGTCTTATCACTTCCATAGCTCCTGTCATGTTAAAGACAACTGCTCAAAGATCTGTCAAGGAATATGTAAATAATGTTTTCCGGATTATGCTTTATTGTGGGTATGAATTATTATCTGTATATAGATTAGGCTTTACATTCTTTGCTCATTTACTCAATAATCCGATAAGCGTTTTAAAAAAATAAGTTGACCTCCAATATGGTTGCCATAATAAAAAAATCTTTTCTAGATATTTTTTATTTGTTTATGTCGCAAATGCTTAACGTTATAATTGTTTTTTTTTTCTTCAACTCGACATATGTAAACATGAAATATTTTTCTTATGTTTAAGTCAAGTTTAAATATGCTTTGTGCGTTCAGATTTACGATTCGATATCTCTACGGTGAATCATTAAAACGCAGAACTTGCATTTCAACGTAACTTTTCAAATATTGAATGATATAATCTTTTGCAAATTAATATATTTTTAACGTTGTCTTAAAAGGTATGTAATTTTTGCTCTCCAGGTGCAGTGTGACAGAAAAAAAATGTATTTTTCAATTTAAAAACTCTTTTTATATCAAAAATATTGTAAAACACATGTCCATCGACAATTTTTATTCTTTCTGAAAAAAAAATCCATCATGTAAAGAGTAATGGTACCAAGAACATGGAAGATAAAAACTTCAGTGACACGCTGTTTGGCAAAGTAAATGTCTTTAGGTACTTCTTCCCCTTAAATATCCAAGTTAAACAGGTTACTGTAGTCGGCATTTTCACTGAAGAAAATATTCTGTGTTTGCTAACCAAAACTATGAACACGGGCGTGTTTATCATTTAAGTAAAAGTCACGCATTTCGTGATATAAAAATTTCCGCTACCTGTTAAGTGTTATCGATAAGAATTTTGCTTTGATTTCGTCTTTGATAATTGTCTCATAATAGTAGTTCTGGCCACAGGATCATGAAACAATCTTAGACTTAAGTCAAATTTTCCATCGCCTATAAAATGTAAGTTAACTTTGTATTTAACCACAAAATTTGCGAATCAATCTGAAACATTCTTAATTTGATCTGTTTGACCTCAATAACATTTAAGTATTATATTAAAAATTGACTTAAACTTCAGATTTAAATTGATCCCATGATCTTATTAGCAAACAGAAATACTTTTTCTCTTATTATGTTTAAAATGACGAAAATGTTAAAAAGCAGGAAAACATGATATTATACTAGAGGTACGGTAAGTAATAAGCTCACTAAATGATAATCCCCTCCCTTATGAATATACTTAAATATAATGGCAGTGTTTTTGCTAAGGAAAACACAAAATATGTGTCTGATCAAAAAGTGAAATAAGAAGTGAACAATGGAGATATTGTAAGAGTGTCATCAAATTTCTCGGATGGACGGACGTGCAGATGGACGGACATCTTAATTTCTGTATATACCCTACCTTTTTTCAAGCGGTAGTATAATAATCTTATTATAAATGATGACTAACAGAAAACGGTGATCATGTTTTGTTTACAGTCATTTTCACATGAGCAACTAAAAACTCAAACTTCGAGGACAATCATACCTAATGAAATGAGGTTATTCTTCTTTCTTTTGCAACTATTGTTTTGTATCATTTGTGTTTGATTGAAACATTTTATTTATCTTTCAGGCCTTGCACTATGCTTTAAACTATTCCTATATGCAGACGGTACGTTTCAAGCACTATAACACGTCTCATTATATATCAATGCAATTTATATGTAAATTATGAAAAAAAAATATTAACCAGGGAGAAGAACAAAATTACAAAATATTAATTTTATTCTTATTACATTTTACATGGAAGGATCGCAAACAAATCCCATAGTAAACTTTGGCAGCAATGAAATCCCCGATGTCTCCATACCAGCAGTACTTACACTCAAAACAGGGGATGACGTCAGAATACCTTGTAACACGTCATACAGTGACGAAAAAGTCACCGTTGTCTGGAGTTACACAACAGTAGGCGGGTTATTTTCTTTCGTTCATTTTTTTTTTAAAAAAAAAAAATATATATTTATAAAATTTGGCTTTTGTGATACTGATGGAAATGTTAATATTAATATATTCTTTTTTATTATGAACAGGGCGCTTTACCAAGAAATGTGCAGCAAAACGATAGAGATCTGGTGATAACTGGTTTTACTAATACGGACGCAGGGATATATCTATGTCACGTGACTTACGGTGTCCAAGTCTCATATAAACTACTTGAAATTATTGCAGGTAATTTATATACACGTATATGTTTTTTTTCCTAAGTTTTGTTTTTTCTCTGAAATGATTTGAAACTCAATTTCATTACATTGCGTGTCTGTGTAAAAAGAAATACACCTGTTAAAGAAAGACAAATTTAACAATTACATCTGGGCTAAATATTTCA